CAGAGCCGCTGACCCCACAAACCCCGGGGGGGGGGGGGTGACGCTTTAGGCTATAGCTATTTGGGGGTTGTTGTGGAGCCAGTCCTTCACCCCACCCCCTGCTTTTGTCACCTTGTTTCTGTTACCTAGGTGTTACTCGTAGCTCCCTCCCCATCATGGGGCTTCTTCCCTCCTTCCCTGACCCACTCAGCTCTGGCTGGGGGTGCTTCTAACAAATCCCACCAAGAGGTGGGAAGTGGGAGGGGTGGGCCTTTTCTTTTTTTTATCATTTTTCTCAAGGCCTTGCTGACCCCATAGCCTCCTTTGAGCCAAGTAGCCTGAGTTTCATGTCCTAGTCCTGGCAGAGACTAGCTGAGTGTCCTTGAGCAAGTGACTTAACCTCTCTGAGACACAGAGATGGGTCCAAAGAGTGTCTCCCGGGAAGAAGAGTGTCCGAGGGCTTTGACTGGACTCAGAGCGGAGCCTGGAGCCCGAGTCGTTGGCCTGCACTCCCGAGGTACACGCACCTCACTCCCCTGTGCGCAGCCATCTTAACGGTTTTCCTCATCTAATACCGACTCCGCCCTCTAGGAGGCGGCATGTCATCCTAGTCACAGATGCCGAAGCTGAGGCTCAGAGAAGGAGAGTAACTTGCCTGGCATCACACAGCCGCCCAGTGGCAGAGTCAAGATCTGAACCTGGCTCCGTCTGGCCCCAGACACTCTTCTTTTATTGAGAATATTCTAGAGGCTCACGATTGCCTTTTTGTAGTTAGCACTTTCTATGTTAAACACGCTGCGTGTGTTATCCCATGTATTCCTCGTGACCACCCGTGTACGGTGCAAGCGTCCCTTTCCTCTTACAGAGAAGGAATCCGTGTCCCAGAGAGGGTAAGTCATTTGCTCAAGGGCACTCAGCTAGTCTCTGCCAGAGCTGGGATGTGGAACTCAGTCTGCTTGGCTCGAATGAGGCTGTGGGGTCAGGAAGGAACTGGAGAGGTTGGGGTTTTCACCATAAATATTGATTCTTCAGCAAATTAATGCGAGCAACTTAACAGCCCTTAAGAAGCTTTGCAAATCGTTTTCAAAAATGACCCATCATGGCAAAGAACACACACTTGGCCTCCAGCTCCCTGGACGCCCTTCAGCCCTACATGTCTCCGTGCTCAGCACTCTCCGAGACCTGCAGGGAGGGCAGTGGACGCAGAAGCCTGGCAGGAGGCAGCCTCCGGTTGGTCCGAGGCCCTTCGGTCTCTAAGTGTCTCCATAGCGTTCTCCTCCAAGTCCCTTGTTGTTAATCTACTTCTCCGAAAGATGCAATGAGCAGATGTAATGTCTACACTGAGCTGGGCGAGTTCCCGAGGCCACGGGCTGTTTGGAATCACACTTCATTAAGAGACAAACTGTTCCTTCCCTTGTTGGGTCTGGATGCTTCTGACGAGGCTGCTCTGAACTGATCCGAAGCAGGGCCTCTGCTGGCTTTAAGCTGTCTGAACTTGGACTTCTTGAGAGCAAAAGGAATTTAAATACTGCCTAACGCCCCCCGTCCCCACACACATGCCAAGTTTTCAGATGAAGCAACAGAGGCACCAGACGGCGTGGGATTGGTCACAGGTCATGACAGTCATCAGCGACAGCTCCCGGGTCCCAGGACGGTGCGCTTGCTGGGCAGTGGGAGGCCAGGCTGGAGTAGCCAGGGACGAACGCTGTCATTGGAAAAGCTGACCAGCAGGAGCAGAACGCAAGCCGGCTGTTTTCTTCCTTAGTCAGGCCTCCTCCTTTCTGGCTGCCCTGCCAGCCTTCCTGTTCTGGCTGCAGTTTCCTGCCAGCTCTTTAAAGGCAACCATGACATCCCCGTCCATCTCGTTCCCGTGGTCTCTTGTGAGCATCCCCCCAGGTCACATGGGACTTGTCCCTGAGGTTTGTAGTGTGCCCACCTGTTACTTCATGGGCAGCTGAGATGCTTGGCACCCAGGAGCCTTCTCTTGGGGCCTAGGACCCACCAATGGGCCTCGGTCTTACCTCTTGGGTGGGATGGGAGAGTCAAGGAGGCCTTGGTCTTACCTTCTGGGTGGGATGGGTGGGTCAAGGGGGCCTTGGTCTTACCTTCTGGGTGGGATGGGTCGGTCAAGCGGGTCTTAGTCTTACCTTCTGGGTGGGATGGGTGGGTCAAGGGGGTGTTGGTCTTACCTTCTAGGTGGGAGAGGTAGGTCAAGGGGAAGGAAGAGGCAGAGGGACAAAAAGAAGAGACAGTGTTTGAGAACACAGGAGAGTGAGAAGGGCGTACAGGAAGGAAATGGAGCATGGTAGGGAGGAGCAGGAACCTGGCACAAGCATCGACACCTCGAACGGGCCTGTGGGAAGAGGACTGTCATACCTATGTGGACGACACAGACAGGGAGGCTTAAAGAATGGATCTCACTCATTCGGGGTCACAGCTAGATGGAGCTGGGCTTTGAACCAGGTCTGCGGCCCATTCCCAACTTCTTTAGCCCTTAGAAGGAAGAAGGAGGGAGGACTACAGGGAGGGAAGGAGAGAAAAGGAGGGGAAGAAAATAGAAGGAAAAAGAGAAAGGAATTGGATCTTAGAACCAGCTCCAGCTGGCCACCAAGCCAGTGAGAACCGAGAGCAGGGAAGGGCCTCAGCTGATTGGGTGCCTTTGCCCACTTTGTCATGCCCCCCAGTAATTCCCGAGGCATACAGAGCTGCAAATTCTAAGGCTTCCCCTCACTAGAAGGCACAGAGATTGTGGCAAGGAGGTTCAGAAGAGACAGGGAGGAGTTTGGCTCAGATTTGACCCCAGACTCCGCTCTGATGGGGTTAGGAGCCAGGTCATGTGGGAGGAGATATGAGGGGACCTCAAACACTTCATTGAAAAACAGAATTAAAGTATAAGTTTACTTTGGTGAAAAAGTTTTTTGAAATCCTGGACCGGCCTATAATTGAGCAGTTACAGGAACCAGATCTCATATGGTCAACCAAGTTTCGAATCCTAGCCCTGGTGCCTTGAGAAATATGCTGGGTGAACATCTGTGAGTGCTCAAAATTCCAACAGATGGGGAAATGGAGGAGAAGGGGTTGCAGCATGACCATACCCCATGGGGGATGTTTCTCCCTCCCTTTCTCTCTCTCTGGCGAGCATATGTATCCTCTGGCAATTAAATTAAAATTAAATTCTTTTTTTAAGAAAAAAAATCCATGCATAGTTTTTTCAAAACCCCTCATAGAATCTAATAGTGAGCGCCTCAAAGGACCTTCAATCTTGTCTTGTTCAAGCTTCCCCATTTTACAAGTGAGGGAACTGGGGTCTCAGGAGCTGAGGAATCTGCGGAGGGAGGTGGGATTCAGCTCGGATGGAAGTGATCAGGGATTCCCCAACTCCTTCCTGGTCTTCCTCTTCTTTCCTCCCTGATGGGTTATACTTTGCAGAAGTCAGGGTGCCCTGGGCCTGTACTTGCCAAACCCTAGATTTGTGACAGTGCTGCAGGAGGTGAATCCAGAACAAGGGAGGGGTCTAAACACCATTTCCAGCGTGGAATGATTCAGCAGGGGCCACGTGCTTCCTCTTTGGGGACAACATCTCTCTTGAATAAAGACACTGAAGGCCGAGTGCATGGCTCAGGTCGGAGGTCTCTGCCATGCCCCCGTCTTTCCTGCTGGCCTCACAGAATAGCGGCTGGGGCTCAGAGAAGTCACGGCACTCTGTGAAGCCCTGACACGTCCAACCTACCATTTCCAAACTTTCAGTCGTCAAAGAATCGGCATTTTGAAAGATTTCCCTCCACCTATTTCATTTCCCTGGCACCCAAGGATACAAAGGCGTAGAGACTCACCCCAAATAACAGCAAGCCAAAGCAGATGGGGGACACAACCCAGACCGCCTCACTCCCAAGTCCATGCCCCCTGGCACCACATCAGGTACCCCAGGAGAAATGCTTCTGTCTACACACTCATCCCTTCATCTCTTCACTCCTCCCTTTCACCCTAACTTCCACCCGTACGTTCACCCACCCACTCACCCCCATAGACATCTGCCCACCTACCTCCATTCTCCCCCATATTCATCCACCCCAACACCTTCCCATCCATTAACTTTGAAGTCTTTTTTAAAAATTTTATTTGTTATCCTTCTTCAATTTTGACCAGAGAGAGACAGAGAGAAAGGGAGAGTGAGAAAGCAAGCTGACAGGTCCAGGACTTGAACCATGGTTGGCTATGTTGGAGTTCAGCACCTCAACCACCACAACACCTGCCAGCCCCCCATCTATGAACTTTGACATCCACCCATTGGCCCGAATATCCACCTGTCAGTCCACCTCCCATTCATACCGATGTCCATCCACCCATTCACCAAAATACCCATTCATCCATTCATCTACCCACTCGTTCATTTATGTATTCATATCTATAAATCTATATATCTATATATCTATATATATCTACCCATTTCATAAAAACATACTTGATGCCTATGCTTTGCCAGGCCCTGTGGTGGGCACTGGGGATCCAAGGCTGATCAAGACTCTGTCTTTATGAGTTCTTTCATTGGCCAGCTTGAGAGCCGGTCAATAATTGAAAAATAGGGATCAGCAGTTGGTATAATGGCTTTGTTGCTGGACTCACATGTGGCCGACCGTGGTTCGAGTCCCGGACCTGGTGGCTTAAACTCAAGCCAGGCACATGTGCGTGCATGCCCAAGATCCCGAGAGGAGAAGAGGAGAAGGGATTGCGGTGTGGCCATCCCCCCGGGGGGTGATTTCTTGCTTTCTATCTCTGTCTCTCTCTGTCTGTCTGGCGAATGCATGCGCCCTATAGCAAAAACCTCTCAAAAAAATAAAATAAAATAAATAATCGAAAAATATACCCTCCCTTCCCCAAGTAGCAAGTGAGTAGGGTGAGCCTGAGACCAGATGGGGCAGAGAAAAGGGCAGGGCCAGAGGGTGAGATGTGACCTTTGCCCTGAGATAA